CTCCGGCGGCGGTGGTCGAGGAGGTGAGGAATCTCCTATTCCCCTTTCTCCTTCTCCTTCTCTTCTTCTTCTCTCTCTTCACTTGAGTCCCCTTGGTGTAGAATGAGGGCTCTATTTATAGTTTTTCTGGAGTGGCATAGCCCGTAAATAGGCGCGAGATCAAGGGCAAACAGGGAGTGGTTTGAATGGACGGCCGATATCGAATCTTTTGATCATGCACCGTTCGTTGGACATTTGAAGGCCTTAATGATTTCGGAATTTGATGATCTTGGGCTCGTTGGATTCGTCTCGTCGAGCCGTTCGATTCGAGTATAAGCTCGTCAAAATCGAAGACCGTTTGGTAACTCAAATTGCGGTTTGAACCTCCCAACAGCGCTTCGAACCTTTGATTCGGACTCATTTGGGCTCGGATTGGATTGATCTTGGTGTCGTTGGGTTCGTAATTCCGAGACGCTCAGGGTTTGTATTTCCGAGACGCTCAGTTTGACTGTAAGCTCGCTGAAATCGGAGTTCATATGCTCCCGAAATTATCTTTTGAAGTTTCCAACTAGATTTTGCCTCGAGATTCGTGCCTGATCAAGATAATTTTGTGATGCCGTATCAATTATTATTATAGAATAACTTTATCAACACTTAATGCTTTGTTTAGAATTTTGATAAATTATTTGTGTTTTAAAGACCAAAATAATTCATAAAAAACCTTACCAAACTCTAATAAGTAATAAATTTATCAAATTTAAATAATTATATCAAGATTTTTTTAATTAAAATTTAATAAATAATTTAATGATTAATTTATATATAGTACAAGTATTTTCTCGCTTATGGAAAGGGACAAAATAACTACCGAGACTTATTGTATACAAAGATTTTCACTTCTGCCTCCTCTCCGTCTCTTCCTCCGCCTCCTCCGGTCGCCGAAGCCTTCCTCCGTCCAAATACCGGCGAACCCCCTCCAGCGTTCTCCTGAACCGCCCCAAATCCAAGCTCACATTCTGCCTATCCAAATAAACCCTCTTGGTCTCCTCCCACCCCCTCGCATTAATCTTCCCCGGCTCCCTAACCACCGGATGTTCTCTCCCATACTCCCTCCACAGCGAGCTTTCCTCCACCCTCACCTTATACGCCACATACCTCAACCCCATCCTCCTCGCCGGAGCCCCGTAATAGGTCTCCGCCGCCCACTCTGTCCCTAATGGAATTATCTGTACGAACACCGCTCCAGGCCTCATAAACAGGAAATGCGTCATCGCTGCTCCGTGCACTCCGATCATCACATCGCTCCCGTTCATAACCCTGTAAATGCTTGCCAGCTCCGTCGTCTTCTCCGGCCTTAGAATACCCACTCGAAACCCCATTTCCGTCGCCATCGCCACCAAATCCCCCTCGTTTTCCACAGTTCGAGACCCATTTCTAAGAACAAGAACCAGGTTTGTTTTCTCCGCGACTTCAAGCCAACGGAGTCGAGGGGCGTAGGCGTCGTCGAGGAACTGTCGGAATCCGATGATAGAGTTGTTGAGAGGGGTTTGGGTTGGATCGATGGTGAGATCATCGTGGATGTGGAGGCCGACGGTGGCGGAGGGGAAGCAGTGAGTGCGGGAGTCGTTGGAGAAGTTGATTGGAGGGAATCGGGAAATACGAGAGAGGATTTCGGCGTATCTGGAGACCCACCAGTTGTGGTGATCGAGGATGAGGAGGACAACGTCCCGGTTGTGGTGATGGGCGGTGAGGTACAGAGGGATAATACCGTCATTGAATTCGTGGAATACGTTGCCGGTGTAGCCACCGGTGGAGAAGACTACGGCGGGGAAGGGATGGACGATGTCGCAGGAGACGGTGGGGCCGGCGATGGCAAGGAGGCGGAGCTCCGATACGATGGCCATTATGGTTTTTTCCCATTTGCGAGTGTACGGCCGAATCGTTTCCTGGCGGAGGACGACGGACTGGAGGAAGATGGTGTTGGAGAGCGAGTGGGTGCGGACGTCGCCGTGCAGGAAGCAGATGTCGGTGCGAAAGGCGGAGCGGTCGCAGCAAATGGAATTGTTGATGACGAAGGAGCACAGAGACGAGGACGCTCTGTTCAGTATCTGCGATTCCGCCTCTGTCACGGGAAAATCTACAAGGAAAGCAGAGGAGAATCAAAATGCTGATTTACAATTCCCAAAAAAAAAAAAGCTGTTTTTCTTGAGAGGGATGCGTATACGTATATATATACTTACAGAAAAAAGGGTGGAGGATGGTGGAAGAGCAGAGGATAATGAAGGTTACTGCAAAGAAGGATAAAAAGAAAAAGCGGAGGAGAGGGGATGGCGCCTTGCGGTTGCCGGAGTAATCGGCGGAAGCGGGGATTGAGTGCTGCTCGGAGAAGACGAAGCGGTGGTTCTTCGCCATTTCTGTGCTTGCGAGGAGAATACAGAGAAGAGAGAGAGAGAGAGAAGCTGAGTATGGTGGGGGATGGCGATTGGTTATTAGAATAGGAGGGAGTCTCTGATAGGTCTGTGAAGGGGTAATATTTTTAAAAGGAATTTGGTTGCAGGCGGTAGTATTAGGTAGAAGAATATATTTATTTTCCTCGGAAGACTTGCAACGACGATATTGCACGACTAATCAGGAATAACGTGCGGAGAATGTCAAAATTAACTCATATTGCAATGATTATTGAATGTTTATTTCCCAATAAAAATTATTGAATGTTTTTTTTTTTTTTTTTTTTTCTTTTTTTTAATCCTTTGGTAAAACTTAGTGAGGTCATTCACCGACATCAGACACACACTTGCTTTGTTCCACTGAAGATAAGGTGCCGTAGTAGAGGAGAAATTATTGTGTACGTAATCCGAACACGTTCGGATGCTGCGTATTTACTGCTTATTTGTTGCGTATTTTTTTATACAGATTTTTTTTTGCCAAAAAATAACAAATAAATAATACTCACTAAATACTCACTAAATACACAATAAATAAGCAAAAAATACGTAGAAAAAATTAAATACACAAAAAATACGCAACAAATAAGCAGTAAATACGCAGCATCCGAACCTATCCCTGCGTTCGGACTGTGTACAGAATAATTTCTCGTAGTTAGTAGAGAGGATGTTAATCACAGATGTGAAACTCCTTTAAATAATACAAAAAAATTAAATTCTAAAAAATCGATATATCTTTTGATATAACGATTAAAATTTAAGAAATTTTAAAGTTAAGCATGCTCATGTATGAGCGTACTTTTTGGTTTGGTGACATAATGTAAAGTTATACCAATATGATAAAATCACGAGCTAGACCAAAAAGGACAATATGTTAATAGTTGAGAGTTTCTTCTTTACAAAAGAATAGATTAGGGTGTGCGTGGTGGGATCGTGATTTTTCTTGTTTTGGATTCCCTTTTTGATGGCATCCTCTTTCATTGAGTACGATGCGGCGTTCTCTTTCTCTTATGAGATCCATTATCTCCCTTCTTCCTCTGTTGTCTCCAAATGCTCTCCCTTACATAAAATGATCTCTCCATTCATTGTCCATCAAGAGGCCCTTCAATAACCAAGTGGTAATGACCTAAACAAAATTCTCCTATATGACTTTCAAAGGCATGTTAGAAGTGTTTTGAATGGACGGTCAATATTGATTCTCATGATCGTGGACCATTTATTGAGTATTTGAGTGCCTTAATGATGTCGTAATTTGACAATCTTGGGCTAGTTGAATTCGTCTCGTACGCATCGAACCGCTCTATTTGACTATAAGCATGTGACATTTGAAAATCATTTGATCATCCAATTTATAGTTTGAATCTTCCAAATGCGTTTCGGGTTATAGCTTTGGACCCATTTGGCATAGATTGAGTCGAATTGATGTCAATGGGTTTTGACTTTTCGAGACTTTCAGTTCAACTATAAGTTTGTCGAAATTAGAGTTCGGGTGGTTCTATATTTAATTTCGAAAATTTCCAATTCAAATTTGCCTCGAGATTCATGTTCGATCAATAAAAATTATTTGATCATATATCAAAACTAGGAAGGCTAAGAAGGTGGACCAAAAGATGAATCTTTCAACATCAATCTTATGTTAGACTCTTGTAAGTCAACGCAATCATTAGGCTGAGGAATGAATCTTACTCGACAGCATTTCTTTTCTAACCTTGGTCCCATCGCTCATTCTTGGCCTAACAACTAATTGAAAGCTCGTCGGTGAAGAAAAAATGACAAACAAACAAGAAAAGGAGCTATCTTCGCCATTGCAGAAGAAAAATATTGCAGAGCCAAGAAATTAAATCAAGCCATTTATGTCCCTAGAAAGGCATTAATTAGTCATAAAATATGCATCATGGAAAGGAGGCTTTCGACATTCAGTTTGATATCTAGTGAAGCAATTGGGAATAGCAGAACCAGAAATCTGCTTTGCCTTCTATCGAAGCTCAAGCCGACATTGAATTCCAACTGATCAGAATTTGGTTTAATAGATTTCAAGATCAATAGCTGTGCCAACGCAAGTTCTGGAATGCACTTCAAGATTATTAGAAATCACTTTTTATGACATTGGAATTAGGCTTCGTTTATGGCAGCTTTTTTGTTGCTTCTTAAAGCAGTTTTTTAATTACAAAATTTACAATTTTTATATTAGAAAGCTGCTTTAAGAGCAACAAAAAAGTCGTCCCAAATAAAGGAACTTTTATTTGGTCCGGTCACAGGACGTAGCTCTACATTCGGCCTCCAGTAGAATCGCGCCACGCGTTCTCATTATTTACCGCGCGCCCCGACAACCCGCCCCGGAACGGACCCAGGATAGCTCGGTATTTCTCGATTTTGCTAGGTATTGCTCGGTATTGTTAGGTATTGGTCGATTTTGCTCGACAATAACCAATACCAAGCAAATACCGAGCAATACAGAGAAAAAACCGAGTAATACCGAGTTGTACCGAGTTTTTATAGAGAAAAACTCGGTACAACTCGGTATTGCTTAGTATTGCTCGGTATTTGCTCGGTATTGGTCTTCACAGAGCGGTATTTCTCGTTATTGCCAAGCAATACCTAGCAATACCGAGCAAATACCGAGTAATACCTCTCAATACGCAAATATAGCATTCCCGGGTTCCGGTCCGGGTCAAGTCGTCGGGCCGCGCGGTAAAGAGCAAGAGCACGTGGCGACATGTTATTGGCGGCCAAACGTAGCTCTACGTCCGATCAAAGGACGTAATAATTGTTCCAAACAAAGCCTTAGTGTCCAATACTAAATAAATTTAATGGTCCACCTGGTGAAAAGTTATTATGATTTGGGTTTAAATAAAGTATTTTGTTTAGGCTTTAGGAATTCTCTTAATGCAAACTTTACAGAACAACCAGCAGTTTCAAGCATAAAACATTCAAATAGTAGGTCTCACAAGATCAACTTGAAGCATAGAACTTGCATTTCATAAGGTCATGACCTTTGAAATAACCTATAATTTGAGAAAAAAAAATTCAAAAAAGTCAGCAATAATTTGCATGTGGTAAATTTAGTTCAAGAATATTACATTTCTCCAATTTAATTCTTAAATTATACATAATTAATCTCAAATTTTCTCTCATGAACAAAATTAGGGTCGATTATGTATAGTCAAGGGATCAAATCAGGATCAATTTTGTAGAACCAAGAGATTAAATTTAAGAACGTTACGGTAAGACTAAAACTTTGATTGTGACGGCTTTATTACTGCTTCTCAAAAAAGTTTTTTAGTATAAAAAATTGTTTAAAAAATGATAAGAAAGCCATCTCAAATAAAATTTAGATCTATTTCTTCCTAAAATTAAATTGTACACTTGCCTTTATAAGGGGTTCATATGTTTAGTGTTTATTGTGAATGTTTCTTTTCAGATATCTAAATACATAGCTTGAAAAGAGGTAATATGATAAATGAAAAAAATAAATAAATAAATAAATAAAACATGGAATGTCATGTCAACATCAAACTTTGGCTACCTAGCAATGAGAAGTTAGCAGATAACAAAGCATGGCACAACAAAGCCCACTTCAGCTCGAGAAATTATTGTGTACGCAATCCGATCGTAGAGAACGGTCCGAATTGCTGTGTATTTTTTAATACACAGTAAATAAGCGGCAAATAAATAGCAAGTAAATAATACTCACTAAACACACAATAAATATGTAAAAAATACGTAGAAAATACTATATATCAAAAAAATACGCAGCAAAATAAGCAGTAAATACGCAGCATCTAAACCGTTCTCTGCATTCGGATTGCGTACACAATAATTTCTCCTTCAACTCAGGAGTTGGGAGAAGGGATTAATTATTCTATTTGGATATCCGGAGATCAATCAGAATGTATCAAGTCTTTTCTATGCTATGTACTGTAGCTGGGTACTGCGGCTCGGTATCACTGACGTTACCCATTTTGATTGGTCTCCGGATAACATTTTGTTTTCGATCTCCACACATAATAATGTCTGAATCATATATAAAAATTATTATAAAAAAATAAAAAAAAACATAGCACGGATTACACGACATTTCATGCATAGATTCAGGAAAGGACATCCAACAATGGTTGTTCAAAGATATCGCGTATGCAAAGCACATGCACACATAAACAGAAGTAAGCAGGCAGGAGCATGTGAGGGGTTAATTTTGCTGACGCTGGAGATATATCAGTCAAAAATTGTAAGGTGTACATCATGGCCTGGCACACATGCGCACACAGCATCTGTAAACTGCAAGGCCGCAGTCCTTTCCAGTCCTTCATATTTGGCATCGCTAGAGATGCTGTGTCTGCTTTGGCAGTAGCCGGCCTAAGCACACTTAAGATGGGAATGCATGCAGAATTCCCAAACTTATGTGATGTAAAACTTTATTTTCCTAAAGCATTTCTTCCCATTGGTCTCAGTGCTGAGAGATTATTCTGTGCGGATGTCGAACACATCTTTACATTCGGATACCAATCAGAATAAGTCACGTCAGCCATACTGAGCTGTGGTACCGAGAGGTATCGTCGCTCGGTACCGCAGTACCGAGCCGCGGGCTTAGGCATTCGGACGGGATTCCGCTTCCGCACAGAATAACTTTTCTTGGTACAAAGCCTACAGGTTCGTCAAAGGGAAAAATAAAAATCCTACATAATATAATATTATCACGAAGAGAAACTAATGTAGAAGGTGGAAACTTGTTTCTTTACATAGTTGTACGTAGCTCATTTTGATCTGATAGTTGTAAGTTTTGGCTATAAAAAAAAGAGGTCGTGTTATGTGTGAATTTGCTTTGATAGGCCAAAATGTCCCCAAAAGAAAAAAAGAAAAACATAATGTGCTGCTTCAAATTAAAAATCCCAACCGATAACACCAAACACCAATTCATACAACCCCTTGTTTCTGAGCAAACTAGCATGATATTCCCCATCTAACCAGAAGGATGAATTAAAAAAGTAAAATAAGCGGAATAAAAGTATATTATATATACATCTAGGACAAAATCATCTATACATTATGTACTAAATGTTGGGATGGAGAGTTAACACTACAATGACGAAATAAGTAAGAAAGTAAAAACAATGGAAAGTAAAGAATACTAGGATTTAACTTGGAGAAACTCAAATTAGGGATAAAACCACGAAGCCACATCAGACCAAAAAATTCACTATGAAAATAGGGAGAAATAAGTACATATATTTCTTCTCTTTCACTCTCTCCTTACTTCTCTTCTCACATACACCGTTCTCAATGTCGATGTATATATTAGCAAGGTTATTAGTTTTCTATTTAGCTGAGTGTTGGCTAGTTTGAATATATTGAGAAATAATTTTCTATATATAAAATTCTTTTATCCAATTTTCACAAGTATTGAACAAAAGAGATGATCGAGATTGCCCAATAAATGTAGAGTTCGCAAGAACTTGAACCACGAAAATTTGTTATGTTCTTGTTTCTATTTTTTCCTCAAATTTATTAATTGAAATTATTCTTTTAATAAGTTCTAAGAAAAACAATAATTATTTATTGTTTGTACTTTTGGAATTAATTTTGGAGAGTACAATTTGCAAATAATCTAAAATCTGCGATCAAGATAATTGAATTATCAAGTTGGGTGGTTGATTTATATCTTCCACGCATAACAATCTACACCCATGAAATACAAGAGAAAGCAAGTTATATCCACCAAGGGACGCAGCCCTTGAGAAAAACGAAAAAGAAAATTGTCCAGCCCGTCTGGCAGCGCTGCGGCGCCAGTTTGGGGTGCTGCGATGCTTAAGCCTCTGCCTGATGATGTTGCAGCGCTCAAACTCGCAGCGCCGCTGTGCCAAATCTAGAGCGTTGTAGTACTCTGCTCTCTTTCAATCAGAGCTGGGGTGCTCAACCCTCAAACTATGCTTCCAAACCCAACCTCGAGCAAGCAAGACAAACTTGATGTCTGAGGCAACAAAACAACCCGATTAATCAACACAATTAGAATCCACACCTAACACTAGATACACTCACAATATGCATGCGACCTACCTTTGTGAGGGGCTCTCACTAAATTTGATAAACCCACTTAATATTACCCTTATTTTTAAATTTGGAAAGTAAAATACCAATTTATGATCATAATTCTCTTAAGCTTCATGTATAAATTTGATACTTAAACCAACAAGTAGCTGCTATTTATTAAAGGTATTAGAACATGCAACATTAATAATAAAAATGGTGCAACCTACTACATGATAATAATGTAATATATATCATCAAATCATCAAATTAAAGTAGCAATATATGACAAGAAATTGTCATATATTTTAAGAGGGCATTTTTGTATGATAGTATTCATGATAAGAATGTATAATTATAATCAGCATAAATCTTTTCTTACACATTCATATGTAATCATGTCGAATGTAATCATACCTCTCCAAATATTTTGTTGACATGAAAACAATAAAAATAGAATAATGCATTGTTGTTGTATTATCAACTTTGCATTAACATGCAAAGCAACCCTTGAAAAATATCACCTACGTCAAGATTACCAATTTGCTTAGAATGCCAATCTCAACTCACAAGACTGTCACAAACCTATAGGCCATTGAATTTCAAATTTAGTTGCAATAGGCCTTTGCTTTGGACATCCTATTGCTAACTCTATGCACCAACTTGTTATAAAAAAAATGAGTTTGGGATGAGTTGTTCCACAAATGCAATTTGATTTGATTGTTTAATCACAAGTTAATTTTGACCCCAAATGATTAGCCTATTTGTGATCGATTTAATAGCCATGAAAAGATTCCCTTCATATAATAACACTTAAATATTTAAATATGTTGATAATTTTGTGTCATATTTCATGTCGGTGTGCACATATTCAAAGATCAAATTAAATTGTAAAGCTGACTCACAACGATTCACATTGCTCACCCACCTTCTCGATTTCTTACCCGACTAAAAGTTTTATGAACTGATCAGCTTCATTTCCAGTCAGACTTGACACACGCTCTAGTAACCAATTCTACCATCCACAAGAAGATGGAACTTCAAAGTTGATAACCCTTTTCCTCCTGGTCTCTCTTCGAGGTTTTGGTACTTGATCCCATCAAATAATCAAATATATGCTAAGTTTGGGTGATGAGAACTTCTACATGCATTTCTTATTTGGAATTTATTCTGCTTTGCTATGTGATTTTGGTTTTAAATTTAGTTTCCATGTAAGTTTTCCAATAGTAAATGTTGCCCTATGTTATGAGTTAATTTGTGTGGTCGAATGCTTTGTTATTTGTCTATGAGAAGCACTCTAATGGCTTATTTGGATGCATGTAGTATTTAATTTAAGTAGGATTTATAAATCCTCTAAATCTACATTTATAAAATTTTGAGAGGATTAAATCCTAAAAATTGTTTGGTAAAAAATATGTTAAATTTTGATAAATCTTGTGAGACTATTTGACAATACTATTCAGGATTTAAGACGATTAACTTATATGACATTTGTATCTTAAATATAAGTTATTAATTCTAATTTTAATTAATACCAATAAATTATAATTATGAATACTATAATTGAGAGTGTTATTTTAATAAGTACTAACTTATTTAGGTGTTATTCAAATAAATATTTCAATTCTAATTATAATGATAACTATCTAAGTAATCATTTAATTATAATATATAATTATTAATCATTTAATTAATATTTACACTAATTATTTATTTAATTTTGATACATTATTTTAATAAAATTTTAATTACTAATTATATTTATAAATATCTAACTAATCAATTAAATATTCTATCACTAACTAATTCTTTAATTAATTTTTACGCTACTAATCAATAATCATCTAATTAAGTATTTAATATTTATATTTTAAATTATATTAATTAAGCTAATTAATTTATGCCTAATTACAAATTATTAAGAATTAATCTAAGCTCGCGGGTTGGCTTTCCTCTTCGTTCTCCTCGTTGCCGTTCGCGTGAGGCAGAGCTTCCCTCTTCGGTTTCGCTGGTTCGCGTGGGGTAGAGCTTCGAATGAGTTGCTTGCCGTTGCCTGTCTAGGGTTTGCTTCTCCTCTGCATTTACTCGTTTCTGTTCTGCTTAGCGTGAAGTAGAGTTCTGAAAGATTTGAAGCTTCTCCGCCTCCTCCGACGACGTTGTTCCAGTCAGATCGGAAGTCGCGCCGGGAGCTTGCCGCGAAGGTAACGATATTTCTCCCCTTTTGCTGGCTTCTTCGGTCGGATTTACGAAATCAGCCAAAAGTCGGATTTACGAAATCCGGAATTTAGGGCAAAAATGGCGAAAACGCCGTGAAGCAGAGATTAGACTTACCGTAAAATTTAAATTTGTATTTTTTGGCGTTTGGCATGATTTAGCTCAAATCTTGCCTAAATCTGGCCTAAATCATGCCATCCAAACAGGCCCTAGACAATGGTTTTGGCAATTCTTTTTGTTAGACATGAAAGATTTGTACTCTATCATACTGAAGAGCTCCTTGTTATGAGTTGATTGAAATATTAGAAATTGCCGACACTTTATTGTGTGGGTGATTAACGCATAAATTTCATGGTGATAAGCTAAGGGTTATTATTAAGAACCGGTTTTATGGGCGTAAATTTGCAGGTTCTATGATTCTCTTATGTGAATAACTATTATAAAGTATTAAAATCTGTGGCTGTTGAAACCGCATTAAAACCTACATTGCTATGCCCATTGGATCCTTTGGATTTCTATATAATATAAGCTTTTTTTTTATAATCTTTATTGCAGTGGTTATATTTCTACATTATTCTTCTGGCTTGAAGAGGTGATCTCTTTGCTGCCTAGTGAAATGAGGTTGTTTTTTTCCAAATATCTATTAAAGTGTTTGAAGTTTGGTATTGCAAACTTTAGGTTTTGGGTCATGCAAAAAAAAAAAAAGAAGCAGCAGAAGGGTTTGATACTCAAAAATTTTGCCTAAAAGATGTAAAGCCACCAAGATATGATTGGATCTTGGCATCCATTCTTGGTGAGCTGCTTTGCATTTGCAAAATAAATAAAATGTTTTATGAAGTGTGACTTCATTACGTAGTTTATGCATATCTATTGCTCTTGAAGTTCGTGCTACAGGTTGAACATACTTTGGAAAATTATGCATTCCTCTTCTCTTTCGCCATTTCCAAGCTCCTTTTCTATTGTATATTTAAAACATTTTAGTTACAACTCTTGTTTGAAGACCAACCATCTATTGCATGTTAGGAATGTTTGTGATCTTTTTTGTAGTTTCATCTTATTTGGTTTGGTTTTCATCCTTACAGAGTTTTTTTTTCATTTACAAGGCTTAATTTGAAGGAAAATGACTCCTTAAGATCTGTTGATTTTTAAGTGATAAGACAGACACCTATCAGTCTTTTTGATTAATCTATTATTTTGTCTATGGAGATATGCCCCTGTATGTTTACTATTTCTATTCTTGAAAGATGAATCCAATTGGAAGCCATTAGATTTGCTCTAATGCTTTTGTTTATATGGTTTTTTACACTTCCACTTATGAATTATTCATTCCTATTTTCAGGAATTGCATTTGGACATACCATGTCTTCTGCTCAAGATCCATTTTATATTGTGAAAGAGGAAATTCAAGACTCTGTATGTCAGGATTGCTATTTTTTCATTGAATTTGTTCTATAACATGTGATGCACGACCCCCATCGAATTTTGACATATTAAACTATTAAAGTTTTCCTTTTGTGTTTCTTCAATAAGCATTAGGTGTACCCCACTATTGAATGACCATGATTGTGAGTCGAATAAGTTACTCCGTGACTATGTTTTGTAGATTGACAAGCTACAAGTTACTTTTCGTGAATTGGAGCAAACACCTTTTGAAACAGGGGAGCGTGTTCATCTAACCAAGGAACTCCTTACAAATTGCGAGAGTATTGAATGGCAGGTATTGTTATTAATGCTATTGATTTCACTACATTTTGTTGATGTTGAGGTGATATTTTTGTTGTTTCTTTGTAGTAGTCGCTTTTTTTTTTTAATTTCAAAATATTGGATTTTCTTAAAATATTTCAATAAATAATTGGTTATACTGAAATTTTGCTTAGTTGTTTTCCTGAACCTTCCATTCTTATGATCAAAAGGTTGATGAATTGAATAAGGCTATTGCTGTAGCTGCAAGAGATCCAGGTTGGTATGGGCTTGATGATGCGGAGCTCGAAAGAAGGAGGAGGTGGACCACATCTGCTCATAACCAGGTAAGTACAAATTGGGGGTGTATTGTCGCACCCTATGTTATATTTCTAGTTATATATTACTGTTTGTTTTCCTTAGTTGTGAATAATCATCCTTTTTAAGGGTTTATTTTCTCATGAGAATGGTTAATGTTTTAAAAGTATGCCCCTTTGTGCTAGATCATTTGTTCTCCTTGATTCATTTACTGTTAGTTTGCAGAGATTAATTCATGTCAGTTGATGAATTAACTAGGTAGCTAATGTGAGAAAAGCTGTCGAATCTGGGAAGGAGAAGATTATTTCTCACAATGGGACACGCAAAGATTTGATGAGGCTTCCAATTGATCGATCAAATTACTATTCCACAGTAGATAGTGATGATATCATCAGTTCTGAGTCAGATCGGCAGATGCTTCTTATAAAGTAAATATTTGTTTTATATAGAGATGGATTAATCATTCTTCTACTGATATTTTTTCTACCTTTTTGGATGAATATACTTTTTTCTTCATCGCATTAGTGTCTGTTTCTTCTTTGTTCCTGGGTTTTGATTCATTAGGTATGGCGATTTGGAGTCTTATTTGTCTCTTCTCCTCACTAAGTATTTTTTGGACCATTGTTGAATGCTTGTTGTGATCTGGTCTTGACTATTTAGGCTGATTACTTTTATCATTTTAATGGTGGTTCTTTGTAATATATAATGGCATTTTACCGATTGCTAATTCGGCCAAATGATACTTCAGGCAACAAGATCACGAGTTGGATGAACTAAGCGCAAGTGTTCAGAGAATTGGAGGTGTCGGGCTTACAATACATGATGAACTTATTGGACAGGTAATAAGATAGCTAAAAATACCACCGCAATTAAGGGAGCTATTATTCTGTGCTGACACTGGATGGTTCTCCCGTCCAGTTAAGCACTCGTGGTACCGAGCGCGGTACATTTTTTTTAGTGACGTCGCCCATTTTTATTGATCTCCAGAGACCTTCCGGACTTCACACAGAATAATAAATCCAATGAAGGACCATGAACTCTAAGATGGTCAAGTAAAAAAACAGTTGTTTGATATTTCTTTATTTTATTCTGTAAAATTATGTGGTTGTTACAACAAGAATAAGAGTTGTATTATGCCAATAAAAGAGTGGCTGCTAAATTGATACTGCAGATGGCAATAGCTCAATCTTTAAGGCAAAAAGCATATAACTACAACCAACATTTACCGATTTTTTTACTTGAAGAAATGAGGTCTCAGATAATGTTTCCTGCATTTGAGCAAGGTTTAGATTAATGAGATGTTTCGGTTACTGTTCAATAGGAGAGGATCTTGGATGAACTTAGCACAGAGATGGAAACTACGGCGAACCGGCTAGACTTCGTCCAGGTTAGCTCTTTCAATTCTTATGTTCCTTTACTGTCATTCTATCGCTTCAATCTGGCAAATATGCCTCGAGTGGTTTACAAAGGAAATGATCTATTGTTGCAGAAAAAAGTTGCGATGGTCATGAAGAAGGCTGGAGCGAAGGGGCAAATTATGCTGATAGCCTTCTTATTAATTCTTTTTATCATTCTTTTTGTGCTGGTATTCCTCACGTAGAAAACAGGTGATTTCTTCATTTATTATATTTTTCTTTATAGTCTTCGTGAGGAAAAGCTTATTTCTCGGATCATGTTGATGTAATAACTGAGTTTTGAAGATGTGCCTGTTATTGATGCCAACTTTGCACATACCCATAGACTTTATATTTATATTACCAGTAAAAAGTTACCACCAGCTTTTGTGTGTAAAGCTCAGCTACACTAATTGCAAAATTAGTATCAGAAAAATCGTATATAAAGCAATTGAGAGTTGAGACTGGATAGCGAGATGGAATTCTGAATTCATCAGCCATTCCTCAAGCTAAAGAGGCTGATTCGCACATAGACATCAATTGTTGGAGTTGATTTGTCATCAAAGAACATGATAGTTTTTTTTTTATTATTTTTAACATTGTCATTGTTATGTCTCAAGTCTTGTATGAGAAAAGTGGAGGGTTGCGTTAGGTAGTTGACAGCCAGCGTAAAACTTGTCGAACAATAATAGTATGAATCCTTTAAGAAATTGTGTTAATGTTAGAGCGTCCCCTAGAAGCGATGCGTTGCATGGCCTGAATACAGTGACAAGTGTACAAGGGCCGCTGCACTGGCGCTTGGGTGCAATGTTAAATATACAAGGGTTCCCACATCAAGGACGAATGTGGGCAAAGAAGCTAGTCCATGAAACTAAAATTAGGATAGGAACTTGGAATATTGGTTCCCTTACAGGAAAATTAATAGAAGTAATAGATATTATGATTCATAAGAAGTTAAATATTTTGTGCATTCAGGAAACTAAATGGGTTGGAGAGAAGGCCAATGAAATTGATAGTTTAGGATTTAAACTTTGGTATTCGGGTAGGAGTCGTACTAGAAATGGTGTAGGTGTTATTATAGATAAGAGTTTAAAGGATAATGTTATAAAAATTAATAGGATTGGAGATATAATTATAGCTTTAAAGATTGTTGTTGGTGATAATATTGTTAATATTTTAAGTGTTTATGTTCCTCAAGTAGGTTTGGATATGAGTTCTAAATTAAATTTTTGTAATGACTTAGAAGAATTAATACAAAAGATACCTTTTGAAGAAAGAGTTTTTATTGGAGGAGATTTAAATGGACATGTTGGTAAAGAGATAGATGATTTTAAAAGTATTCATGGTGGCCATGGATTTGGAACGACGAATGAAGGTGGCAAGACCATATTGGATTTTTGTTTAGCTTATGATTTTTCAATTGCTAATATTTTATTTAGGAAAAGGAATGAACATCTCATCACTTATAAAAATGGATATAGTACAACCCATATTGACTATTTTCTTATTAGAAAATTAAATCATTTAGATTGCAAAGATTGTAAAGTTATTCCGAGTGAAAATTTATGTACCCAACATCGATTATTAGTTTTGGACTTTAAGATAAAGGGGCATAAAATAAAAATAAAGTTAAACGATTTTCTAGGATTATATGGGGGCATTTAAAGAATATTAACAAAAATATTTTTGAGAAGAAGATTTTAGATCTTAAGATTTTATCTGTGCATGAGGATGCTAATGTTATGTGGGAAAAAGTGGCTAGTGATATTAAGAATATTGCAAAAGATGTCCTTGGAGTATCAAAAGGAAAAGCTCATAATAGTAAAAATAGTTGGTGGTAGAATCTAAATGTACAAGAAAAGATTAAAAAGAAGAATTTTTGTTATAAAAATTGGTTTAATTTTAAAAATTCTGATAATTGGGAAATATATAAAGTGGCTCGTAAGGATGCTAAGAAAGTAATATGTGATGCAAAGAGATTAGCTTTTAGTGATTTATATAATAGTAAACATTTGTATCATATCCTAATATTCTTAGGCTTCGTTTGGAACAACTTTTGACCATTATTTTCTTACAGCTTTAAGAAATTTTTTCATTAAAAAGTTTACTAAAGAATTAGTACAAAAGCTATCCATAACGAAGCCTCAAAGAACAATAATACTCATATACATATCAAATGCCTATTTGGATGAATGCAAGTAAATGAGTGTTAGATTATTACCCTCTCTATTACCATACAAAGTACATTATATTTTTAAGTGGTTGAGATTAGTTCAAACTTTATTCATTTTACAAAAAGTAATCTAATTTTGGTGAAATCGAACCCTTTAAAATAAGTTTGTTCAAACTTTATTCATTTTACAAAAAACTTGCTCCTGTAGATAAAAAAAATAAATTTGGTAAGAATATAAGTAAGTTGAAAGAAGATGAACAAATTGTTTTGAAAGAAGAATATCACCTAAAAATTTTGAGATTTTACAAAGTGTAGTAAACTCTTTAAAGATGCTTTTGTTACTTGTGATGTACATGATATGATATGACCTATGCATATTGGCATCCCCTGCTTGGGTTCAGGCGCTCCGGTACACAACTCAGGCGCTCCAGTACACAACTCAGGGGCACTCCAATACATAGCATTGGGGAGTTGCACTAAAAAAAAGTTTTATGGTGTAAGAATGGTGTAAGAGAAGAGAGATTTGTACAAATTTCTTCCAATTTTCATAGTGGATTTCTTGGTGTGGTATGGCTCCATGATTTTTTCCAGGTTTCAGATTTTTCATGTTAAATACTAGTGTTCTTTACATTCTGATGCGTTTCTATTTTCTTGTTTGTTTCGTTACGTAGTTTACTTCCTCCCTAACATAAAATAATAGCAATTGCTAATATTATGCCCAAAAAAAAAAAAACTCATCAATATTAGGGGTATCCAAATGGGTAAACAGGCTACATTTGGGTCCAATCTGAACCCAAACTATTTAATAAACATGTCAAAAAGGTGGACCCAAATTTGACCTGTTAACAACCCGAACCCGATTTGATAATCTATTTTAATTAAAAATATATTTTTTTATTAACTTGTAACCATATATTTTAGATTACTTGATAAAAATAAGATGAGTATACCAACAAATAAAAAAAATTAAGAAAATATATTAAATATGTCATATTTTGGTCAAAAGTAGATTGGCAGGTTAATGCGAACTTGGCCCATTCAATAAATAAGTCGAAATACATGACCTGAAACTGACTAAATGAATAACCCGAATCCGAATTATCAGGTTGGGTCTGAATAGGATTGGCGTATATGATCAATTTATTGACACCTCTAACTTATATTTCTCAAATATTGAAAGCATGCACCACTTGACCTTTCCTGCTTCTGTGTCCCATAAGATATAGAAATGCTGAAAAAATAGAGATTCTTTGCAGGATATTTTGCTCCTTTAAAAAAAAAAAAAAAAAACATGTGATCTCATATAAGTGCCAAGAAGTTGGATATATTTATTACTTTTTCCCACATATTATTTAATTAACAATTATTTTAATTTAAATTACCCAGCTCCACATGCACTTAACCCATAATTTTATCATTATCATGCATAATGAAAGTGCAATTTTATCTAATATTATTAACAAAGTGTACAATTAGACAAATAAATCATCTTTGTTGATAAAAGTCTATAAATCAGATGTCATGCAAATTTTGCTAATTGATTTTCTTATAAATTAAGTATAAAATTTTCTACATGTATTTGTTCTTTTTACCTGTAATTTTTTATAAGTTTCTTAATATATGGGCTTAGGCCCCAAATTTCCCCCCCCCCCAAAAAAATGTATAAATTTGCACCTATTGGCATACATCTTTTTGCAGATTTTTACAAACCAAGTTGTAAGTCTCGACGCAAATAAAACATATGATCAATTTATTGACGCAAATGATGCAAGATGTAAATAAATTATGAAGCTATTTATGATCAAACTTTGGATTCGTTTGGGACGGCTTTTTTGCTGTTTCTTAAAGCAGTTTTTTAGTTAAAAAATTTTATTTTTTGTGCTAGGAAGCTACTTTAAGAAGCAGTAAGAAAACCATCCCAAATAAATTATTTTTGTCATATATAGTCAATGATCGTGAACTATAGTTACTTTGTAAAATAAGTTTACCTATGTCCTAAATATCCCTCTTCCTAAAATCTTTCAAGTAGTATGGTGTTTCAAATTGCAGTTTCATACTTGCTATCACATTTCCAAGATGGCTGCCACCACATCAAAATTACCCCATATAGTTGAAGTCAAAATTCTCCTCATCTTATTAAGGCTTCATTTGGGATGCCTTTTTTACTACTTCTTAAAGCAGCTTTCGAGTACAAAAATTTTAACTTTTGTAATAAAAAGTTGTTTTAAGAAGCAGAAAAAAGTCGTCCCAAACGAAGTCTAACTCTTCACTTATTTATTTAGTTATTATCATCAATTTCCTCAATTTCTACATCTCTTGTTCTTTTTTTTGTAAGGAGTACTCACATGAACCTAAGCAAGCACTCAGCCACAGATCCTTTCTCTCTTTTAGACATTTCTGTGGCATACATTATTGAAAGTCCCTATTTTCCGAACTTTTATTACATCCAGTGAACGTACGCTCCTCTACGTTCGGTTTTAGACCAAAACAGCGCAATACCGAGTTTTTTGAAAAAACTCGGTACAACTCGGTACTCGATATTGCGCTTTTTTTGCCCAGAACCGAACGTAGAGGAGCGTACATTCACTGGATAAAATAAAAGTTCCTATTTTCCCTCAACTTTGTTGGTTAGGGACATAGGCATATCAAATCTCTTATATCAACTATAGATCAATCAAGAGAAATCAATACCTTTTGGAGCTGACTTCCTCTATTATTTCATTAATTATTTGGGAAAGCTTGGCGTCAGGAATGAAGCCTGGTCCGAGATCTCTCCATTATCTCTTCCAAAGAAACTTGGATTAGTAAAACCAGTTCTTCTTCATCGTTTGTACACATGAAGATCTTGGATCAAACTTCATTCCGAACAGCAAATCTCCTCCTCCTCCCACCATCCACTTTCCACCATTCTTTGGCACATAATGATCAGGTCATGAAGAGGATATAATATTGTAAGAACAGATTGGTTTTGGGGAAGATCTTCAGTTCTTCTTGAGCAATAAGGAAGAGGAGTTCATGGCTTTTGGCTTGGAGAAGAGCAAGGGAAGGAAAAGGAGCAGAAGAGAATGGGGAAAAGAAGTGATAGGAAAATCAGACACGTATGGTTAAAAAAAAAAATGTAATCATTGCCATCTAATTAGTGTGGTTGGACTTTCACTCTATTT